TTTCCATGTTCCTCCGCGTAGCTGATGGCCTTCAGTTTAAACTGTGCTTCGTAAGCGTGTCTCTTTGCCATTTTCAGGGTTGTTAAAACAACGATGTCCTGCATAATGCACATACCTGTTCTTTTATACAGGTATGTGCGATAAAGTCAACGCACACACTTCACCCTTTAGCGTTCTCATGGTCGTGAAAATACGGTACTTAAACTCCTCTACTTGGGGCAGGAACTTGTCCCTGACCCGGGCTGGGCACTCCACTCTGTTCCGGCTGAGGATCATGGCCTCAAGATTTGGAGGTGCTGATTCCCATTTCCACTGCTTCACACTCGACCACAAACCACTCCAACGCGAGCTGGAGACCATCAGCCGATGAAGCCAACAGACCCACATCATCTGCGAAAAGCAGAGATGAGATTCTGAGACCACCCAAGCGAAAGCTTTCCAACTCTTAGCTACACCTAGAAATTCTGTCCATAAAAATTATCAACGGAATCTGTAACAAAGGACGCAGCCCTGGCAGAGCCCATCATCCACCAGGAACGAGTCTGACTATGTGGACCAGGTTCTTGAAATGGCTGTATAGGGATTGAGTGGCCCGTAGCAATTGGCGTGACAACCCATACTCCTGAAACACCTTCCACAGGCCACACCGAGGGACATGGTTGAATACTTTCTCCAGGTCCACAAACACGTGTAGACTGGTTTGGCAAACTCCCATGTATCCTCAAGTCTCCTTGAGAGGGTAAAGAGCTCGTCCAGTGTTCCACAAATAGGGCGAGAACCCCGTTGTTACTCCTGTATCTGAGGTTCGACTAACAGACAGACTCTCCTTTCCAGCACCCTGGCACAGACTTTCCCAGGAAGGCTGAGGAGAGTGATCTCACTTATATTTGAAAAACACCCTACTTAAAGATGGGAACCACCACCCCAGTCTGCCAATCCAGAGGTACTGCCCCTGAACTCCACGCACCATTGCCAAGACAGCCCTACAACATTCTGAGCTTTCAGCAACTCAGGGCGAACTTCATCCACCCCAGTGACCCTGCCACCAAGGGCCTGTTTAACTGCCTTTGTGAACTTGCCCCCTGAAATAGGTGAGTCGTCTCCCTCGTCCCTAGACTCTGCTTCCTTCACGGTGCCAGTGAGATTAAGTTGGTCCTCGAAGTATTCCTTCCAAAGTATTCTTTCCACTGCCCGACAATGTTCTCAAACGAAGTCAGCAGCGCTCCATCTGCACTATACACAGTGCAGGTAGAGCACTGCCTTCCCCTCCCGAGTCGCCAGAAGGTTTGCCAGAATCTCTTCAAGGCAGTCCGAAAGTCTTTTTCCATGGCCGCTCTGAACTGCTCTCACACTCAGGTTTTTTGCTTCACCCACTGCTCAAGCCGCGTTCCGCTTGGCCTTTCAGCCTGGTGGCTCCCTTCACCTCTGGTGTCCACCATTTGGTTCGGGGGTTACCACAACAACAGGCAACAACGACCTTGCTGCAGCACTTCAGTGTAGCGGCTTCAGCAATGAAAAGTTTGCTGTTCAATTTGCACAGTTTGCACAAAACTCATTCTACTCTGTAGCAGATGATCTGTCTTATTTTCTTGAAACATTTCTTTGCTTCTGTCTGTCAGATATCAGCTCTCAAGTTACCATCGCTACAAAGACCTTCCTGCGGTACGAACAGCTGATGGTCTTGTTGGACAGTATCCGGAAATTCTATAGCACCATAAAAGTTATTGTTGCAGATGACAACTTTGAACCAGAGCACATTACCGGAGAAAACATCCAACATTACATCATGCCTCCAGCACAGGTATGCATAGACATTTAGAACTTAAGATTGGTTTTTTTGTTTATTCATACTGAGTTTTATCAGACATCTTGGACAGAGCAGTATAATTATTGAAGGATTTATTAAAATAGTAAAATATAGGATTTTATGCTTTTTTTCTTTTCTAGAATTAGACTTTAAATCACTCATCCCCTAAATATAAGAAGAGTGGAGAGGAAATGCTCAGTGCATTGCATGAAATCCTCCAGTAGTCTGAGGGTAGTCAAGTGTGCCTTCATCCAGCCCTAAGAGTAAGCTTTTAGAAGAAAAAGTTTGCAGCTTTTAAGATTAGACTCCAGTGTTTTGGATTAGTGATTTTAGGAACTTTCAGAACAATCTGATAATATTGAATTACAATAGTCCAGTCTAGAAGTAATGCATGTCACAAGTGACTACTTACAGCTTAGAGGGTAAAGGACCATTAAACCAGACTGTAAAAGATGTTTTCATCCTCAGGGCTGGTTTGCAGGCAGAAATCTGGCTGTTTCCCAGGTAACCACCAAGTACTTCCTGTGGGTAGATGATGACTTTTTGTTTACAGAGAAGACAAAGATAGAGAAGCTTGTGGAGGTGATGGAGGCGGTCCCTGAACTGGATGTGGTGAGAATGAAATAGCTCATGTTATCTGATTATGTCTTCTTCTTTAAATAGAACACTAACTGATCTATGTACATAAAACATATATATCCATTTCTGTTAACAGTTCTAAG